GGTTTGGTGGGTCTTTGATTTTTTTCATCCCTGAGATGCTACCCATGCATGATATGATTACTGTATGGGTCTGCTGACCATAAGATGTTTTAAGTGATCAGACAGCTTCTATGGGTGCTTATCCTTTTCTGCTGTTCACTCACATCCAGTTTTGGACCCATACACTGCACCCATAATGCATAAATTTGCTCAGTGATTACATTAGTTCTGTATAACTGTGAACTTTAGAAAGCCTATAATATTGCATTTGTGACTGCAGTCTGAATTTCTCCAAAAATAAACTCACAATATGTCTTTCAGTATTCATTACTGATTGCTGTCCATCATCTGCTATTTGTTGCCAAGTCTTATCACGAGAAATCCGAGTGATGATCATAATATCTGATCACTCACCTGCAGTAATTTCTGGTACTCACTTGAGCTGTTTCTGGTACTCACTTGAGCTGTTTCTGGTACTCACTTGAGCTGTTTCTGGTACTCACTTGAGCTATTTATACATACATTACATATCTTATTTGAGACTGAAATTGAGGCCAATTTTATCCCTATATTTAGTAGTAATGGTACTGTCCAATCTTATTTCCATCTTCGACACATACACGAGGATGTGTTTTCCTGAAAACACCACAAGGTGGCAATGTACAGTCACAGAGAATGGTGTCAGCATTATATTATCCATGTGAATTATGTCAGGGTTAATAAAGCCACGAATAATGCTGCCAGCATTAGTTATCCACAGTGAATTATGTCACATAGGTAACCATACGTTTGCTAAGCCATGGAAATGTCAGGGATAGTTAACCCAAGTAGAGAGATATCAGTGGAAATTGTGAGGGAAACACAACAGTGAAAATAGATGTACCAGCAGTTGTGTGAGTCAGAAAGATGCTATACTGCGCACACGAGGTAATTTTGGAGCATTGCAAAGACCTGACAATGACAACACTGAGGGCTACGCTGTTAAATACGGTACATTTTCATTTCACCGCATGGTTACCTACGTAGGAAAAAAAAGTGTAATGCGTAAATGTGTCGCCCGAGGGGATGCAGGTGGGAGGGACATTGGATGATTTTGTTTTAACCCTGAAGACACGACTTTAGGCAACAAATAATAAATGTAAATGCAAATAAAGGCTGCATTTGGGACCCAAGTGAAATGAAAAGAGGATGACATACTAAGTAGCAGAAGATGTTGATTCATGCCCAACATGTTAGGGATTTTAATGTGCTGTTTCGGTAATCTGTTTAAGAGACATAAAGCACAACTCTTTCCAAATAGCTTAAAACAATGAGCTTTGTTCACCAGACGTCCTTAAGAAGAGATTTCTTCTTAAAATCCACTTACCACAGTTTTCATTAATGTAGGCCTATGTCATTCTGACATACATTAATGGTTTCGTATTTGGGATTTGTTCTTAGGTAATGATATAGAATCTACGCACACTCAAGGGCACAATTATGCACAGTTGAGTCAGAAGTTTGTGCAAAATAACTGCTTATTGTGCCATTTTTTACAGTAACTGTTGTATAATATTATTGGATTTCAATTGCAATAATATTTTGTCATGTACTGTATAATATTTTTAAATGATTTCATAATATATGTTTAAAACAATTATTATATTACTAAAACTAGTAATAGCATCCTGTGTATCTTTTTGTGATATTTCATATCCAGTACGGTATAAAGCATTATAGCTCATTTGCTGTTTGCCTCCTGCAGTGCACCTCCACTTCGGAACTACTTAAACTTTGACCCGGTGATCCCCTGTCTTTAGGTTTACTATGTGGGCATTCTTCACTTCTCTCAGCTTTTCTTAATTTATATGTCTGCACACGGTTTACATGACTGTAGCCTTTCGTATTTATTACAACATTTTCCTTTATTTAAACTCAAAAGTATAACTCCCGTCAACATCCCCATATAAAGTGGCGTCGGAAGGAGTTTCACTTTGGCTTTGGGCAGATGCGATATCTGGACATCGCAATGGGCAGACATGAATACATTCAGATCGTGAAAGGATTCGAAATGAGAGAGATTTTTTAAATATTCATATAAAATAATATAGATTTAAAGGCCCATTTCACAGCTAAACTTTACCAAGTAATTAAATTAACTAATCTACATGATAAAATTATTTTGTCAGACAAAGGACTGCTAGGTCGTTGGGTTTATGTTTCGTCGTAGCGCAGCTATTTAGCCTCGTTCATTCATAATGAAAGCTTTAGGCGCGTGCTCTTAGAAACGCGTTAAATCACCAAAGGCGCCGTTACAAATGGCGATGGCAAAACTGAAAAATATAGCTGTGCAATTTTTTCCCCAATATTTCCCGATATGGGGGGGGTGGGGGGGCTGTACCCCCGGTCCTACAGTCTCGTGCCCTTTTATGCGTATTGGTGGGGCATTTACCTAATTATAAGAAAACATTCGCGAACAGTTCTTTGGTGTAAGGCCACGTTATCAATCTGACGTAGATTTTTCTTAGGAACTTCTTAGGACGGCTCTTAAGAACAAATTCGGGGAAAAAAACAATACTGGTGAATGAGACCAAGTGTCAATTTAAATATCTATCTATCTGTCTATCTATCTATATATCTGTTTATCTCTATCTAGATTTATTATGCAAAACAAAACACACTTGAAAAATAGTCAGTTGTTGAAAATGAGTCATTTCAGCATTACGCCCTTGAACAAGGCCTTTAACCCTGATTGTTCCAGGGTTTGGCTGACCCCTCTTTTCAATTCTATGTCAATTTGGATAAAAGCATCTGCTAAATAAATTAATGTAAATAATGCCTTGTGCCCCAGGCTAACATTTCTGGGAATGGTTCCACAAATATGGCACTGAATTCATCATCAGCTGAACATCTGTGATATGAGGTGCCTGTATGGTGATCCATTACCAGCATAACTGCGGGGGGCAGTGGAATCTGCATGCTCTAGTGTTCCCATGGAACACAATCATAGAACCTGAAATGAGTGATTACATTTTAAAGACTGATATGAGTAATTGCAAGCTGATGCAAGGTTTTAATTTTATAGAGACTTCGGGATCAAAATGATAATGTATACGGAATTAAATCAATGGGTGGCTCAGTGAGTGGCACTGCTGCCTCATACCACGATGGATCTGCTTTAGGTTCATGGAGGGAAAACATGCAAACTCCATCATGTACATTTCTTCCAAAGACATGCAGTTCAGCTGATTAATGTCTCATAAATTGTCTGTATTATATGGGCTTTGTCTGTGTATGTATCAACCTTGCAATGAACTGCCAAGCCTTGTATCCCCCAGCCGAACCTGACCAGTGAAGTTGAAGCTCATAAGGGCCCGTTGACAGCCTTCTAGCACCCTCTAGTGGCAGTGACATGATAGTGAGTCTGTATGCAAGGTGTGCGAGACTGAGTCAGGAAACCACCTAAGGGGCCATTAAATGCAATCAATTTACCTTGACATCCTGTGTTTAGGCTGCAGGGTGAACATGCAAACTCAGCACGTATAGGCCTGATTTTGTGTTTCATGTCATTTTCATGTCTTGTGTTCATGGATGTTTATTTTGTTTTTTCAAATTATCTTAAAACGCATGAACAACTTCTCCAGAGACACACCAACACAATGATCACCATTAAAACAAAGAACCACAGAAAGTATAAATTCATATATGTTTATTTTTTATTAGAACATTATTTTAATAAGTGTAGCTGTATTTCATACTTTTTAAAAGATCATGACTGGAATTTATAAATTATCTCATCAAAGTTGTTTGTAAAAAATTAAACATAGTTACTGAACTAAAGAGTCTATCATGTTACATATCACCAGTAATATAGTAATAATAATATCTTTATATGCCTTATGTTTTTAACCACCTCCCCCTACCCCACCCCCACACTTTTTTGAAAGGCTAAAACTCTAAGGAAATTCCTACTGCTGATATAACACATCATTCAACACAATTAAACTGAAATCCAAACGATGATTTTTCCAGTGTCATAAAAATAAACGAAATGAAAGTGACCAAAGAGAAAGGAAAAAAAAGTTAGGTAGCGATCTTGTAGCATGTCTAAAACGGAAAAGACTGCAGTGCATAGATCAACAGGATTTATAAAATAACAGTTAAAAAATAAAATAAAATCCGAAAATCGCTTACCCAAATGACAACACGAAACGACTTTTGAACGGCTGTCCCTACTGTCAATGAATATTTAAAAAAAAAAATAGACATTTGCGCGAACATGATATCTTTTGATTGTATTTTTGTTTTACTTTTTGGTAGCACTTTGCATTAAGTAGGCATTCATTTTTACATTCATTCATGAAAGCTGTGTACTGGATAAAACAAGAGTGACCCACCCAATATACACTACGTATAAACTTAAATGAAAAGTTCTACTTCAGGCCGAGAACGGTTGTCGGCAAATTGCATTCCGGACTGTTTTGCGTTGGCTTGGCTGCAGTGAACTATACAGAGACATTTGCATGGTTAGCGCAGTCTGCTTAATGCCTGCTTAATGTAAAGAAGTTGTGCGGTGTGTGTGTGGGGGGGGGACGTCTTTCAGCTGGGCTTCTGCAATGGCTTTCACGAGGTTCAATAAATCAAGGCAAATATTTAAAGCACACACAAAACAAGGAAATAGAAACATACATACAAATAAAATCAGAACCATAAATGATGTCGTTTCTTTCATGCTTGCAGTGTAAACAACTGGGTTAATTTCAGCAGAAATATTTATCGTAATATCGTGCAGCTCTCCCTTAAATCCAGCAATGTGCATGGGAATATAATTTTCGTTGACCTCTCATAAATTCCTACTTTAATTATCAATGAGACCATCATCTCAGAACCAGTATTTCTCCTGTACAAGGGCGGGGTCACGGATCACTGGCCCAAATTGAAAGATGATTGGCTCCTGGCGTGCCCCCTCTCCTGTCATTCACCAATTCTAAATATACCATTGGCTAATGAAGTTGGCTCCTCCTTATGAATTATGGCCCATCTTATGCCCCAAACTTAATAAAAATCCTGTAGGGCCTTTGGTGATTTTTTTTTTTTACATTAAGGGCAGAGGTTATCTAAATAAACTTATTCATACCCTGAACGCGAATTTTACAGGAAATACCCATGGTCTATATCGTCCATCATTCCATATTCAGTATCCTTAATTCCTCAATATTTATTAAATCTAGCATCACCCTCCCACACTTACGGAAAACAAGTTACCAACTATTATGTGTTCTGTAGCAGTTTCATTACTGTTAAACGGGCAATGATGATGACCAAGCTTTCATTTGCATAGCTTAAGAATCTCAATCCTGTGTAAAATACTGCTGTAGCCAGCTTCCGTTACTCTGCTTTGCGAGCAACGCACTGAGACAAATGAATCACCTCGAGCTCGGCACTTCCCCCAGCTGACTGGTAAAAATAAAGAGAAAACGATTCCGCCCGACCACATCTGTATCATATCAAAAACCGTGCGATCTGCGGGGCTGAGGTGCAGTCTATGACATAATAGTTTAACATCGGGGTCGTCGCGATCTGTGCTATCGTTTTCCGTCTGGTCGATGTGAATAGCCGGGACACGTGCTGAGTCGCCGTCCTTTGTTGGAGAGAGGTAGATTAAAAACAAATATAAGGATAAAAATACGGAGGAATGAACTGAGTAGGCAGGTTCATCAGACGAACAGGAACCTAAATTGGGGGCTTTTTGCTACAGAGGAATGACCACACACAAAAAACCCAATCATGAGCACACGTTGGTATTGCTTCCTTGGCAAAAATCACCTCTCATTTTATTTACAAAACACATAGTCAGTTAAAAGCGCCAGAGTATATATGTTAAACTTTCTTTACTCCGATGTACAGTTTAAAAATGACTTTTGACATTGCATTCATAAATGCTGAATAAATAATATTTATAAGGGCAGGAATGTTCATTTAGTGTTTCAGATTTCCTTTTATTTCTAGACTTTAATTATTATATATCAGTTTGGCAATTTTACACTTATAGCAGTAATGCTTCACTATTGAAAAGTAGAAGTTCCATGATGCTGGTTTAAAAGCGATTCCATGCGCAGTGACCGCATCGGACTAAGGTTTCGTGCGTTCTAATGCGCTAACTTTGTTCCTTTTTCCTTTGTCACGTGCCCTGCAAGCACCTGTAACCTCACACGACCAAAGACTGTTTGAAACTTACAGGAAAAAAATACAGCCCTTATATCTAACCTCCAGGCATAGCTGAACACTTTTCAAACTGCAAAACATGAGAAGTGTCAGATCTTCTAAGGCTCATTATTAATGTTGTTTTAGCTGAGGGACCAAGGCCTTTGTACATGCGCGTGTGCACAAGTGTAAGAGTGTGTCTTCATTTGTGAGTTAATGATAACCTGTAGGTGTTTTCTCATGCTCTCTTCAGGTATGTAAACATTTTAAAAGCCCTTTGCTCAATGCAAGATGCTCAAAATAAGAAGATGAAATACAGAAGGAATAGTTCTGTTTTGTTTTTTTGAAGTAGTGCTAATTCTTGGGCACATTGTGCAACACGAATTACATTTTGACAAATCGGCCTCTTCATCAAAATGTCTCCATTTTCTTGCATCATCGATGCCATTGAAGTAGGACTCTTCATGTAGTCCATGTGGAAAAGTGGATGACTCAAACAGAAAGACGCTCCACAGGGTTCAATCCACCTTAATGCTGCAATCCATTCTATCATCACAGCAACAACTTACCAGCAACCAAAGACATTTAGCAAAAAGCTACCTCACTCTCTACCTCACTCATCTGTCTTAATTTTCATACATGGTAAAACATTAGCGCAAAAACCAGAACCCTATATTAAGAACCTCTGACGTGGATTTAATGTTCTGAAGAATACAGTATGTATCGCAAATAACACATGCTCCTTAGCTTATGTTCCAACATCCAACTGTCCAGAAGAAAAGATGGCAGACACGACCAGGAAGAGTCCCTTACTGCAGCCGAATTTCAATCACATAAGCTGACTTGGCCAAGAACGCTGCTTGAAATAAACACAGCAGATGCCGTATGGCAACAGGACCGCGACCCACAAACCTCAAAGATCACAGCTACCATCAAGGGCTTCTCCACAAGGCCTTTCTGTGGCACATTAATATATAATGGGACCCATGCTGTAGTCCAGTCTGAGGTGTCTGTTGTTATAAAATCTTCAATATTCAGTATAATGCTTAATAATTGTTATTTTGTTTTCAAGAGCATTTTCTGTGTCACACTGTATATGGGTGTAGGCAGGTGAAATCCAGACTAAGGATGTTGTCTGTGAGGCACTCAGAACATCTTCTAACCAAGCACACGAGGACAGGAGACATGTTGACTAAGAGCCTATGTTTATATTTTATCAACACCCAATTATTTAGCCTGACCAACACCTCTAAGACTCCCAGAAGAGCACAAGACACTCACAAAGCACATCATGTCTCACCTGTTTCCTTTCTAGGTAAGACAAGGCTACAAAACCTGGCCAGTGTTATGATAAGTACCGTAGCATAAAGGAGGGTCTGCATGATCTCCGTGTCGACGGGCAACATCAGGATTACGTACGCTTAGGGAGGGCTTATACTGACTCAAGTCAAGCTATGGTTGGTTGAATGCTGGGTTGAATGGGTGTCTCTGTGTGACTGTGTGTCTCTACATTGGACATATTAACAATAAACCCCCAATTTTACCACAACATTAAAATGAAGCAGCAGCATCCATGTGTAGTTTTACAAATGAGATAAGAGAAACTGCACAGAGATTTACCAGCTGGACAAGATCGCCTTCACTTCATGTTTGGCTAACAACTCATGTCCCCCATAATCATCCCCTTTCTTCCAAGTTACCCATTAACAAAAAAATATATCTGAAGACAAAGAAAATCCTGTTGTAATCTAGGCAAAAAAAAATAATCCAAAAAGTTAAGCATAATGTATAAAATTGTGTGAGAGAACTCAGTCTCAGAGAAGGATTAGTCACAGCGAAGGCTGTGCTGTTGTCTTGTTCTTGTAATTATTTTTTTTATTTCCGCTCCACCATCTCCACTCCCAATCGCAAATCCCGCTCCATAGTCAGGGACACTTCGGCAGATGCCATTCTCCATCTGTGGTTCTTTCCACGGCCGCCAAAATTGCAAAAAAAAAAAAATTGCACGCGTGAGGCCTGGCGAGTTTACCCGCGCTGGAGCACTTTCCCGTCACTCCTCGCTGGAACCTTCCTCCACCGTGGTGACGGCCCAGAAGTCAAGGCCCATGGGGTTCTGTGCTGCGGTCAACGTGGAGATGGTGTGTAAAAGTACCAGAACTAGCATGCAGAGTTTGAGCCTAGTGTTACACAGTCTGGATGCCGCTGAGGTGGTTACTGAAGTCTTGTGGTGGCAGGAGGGATGAGTCCTTTTTACCGTCCCTTCGGAATAGTTATCGGGTTTAAAATCCCATCGGACGTCACAGCACTCTGCCTTGGAGCTGGACAGATGATTTTCTAAAAGCCCTGCAAAGTCAAAATAATATATATATATATATATATATACACACACACACATGTTGTCATGATTTAAGAGATTGTAGCTGGAATCCATGCTGAATAAAACGACACATGCTAAATCACTACAGAAACTGCTGCCATTAGGAACAGAATTACGACTGCATAGTTGTAAAACTCGGAACGTTTTTATGAAACATATAAATCTGCTTATCATGCAGATTAGAACTAAAGAGAGAAAGTGAACCAGACTGATAACATAAAGATCTGCTTGTAGTTCTAAACAGGTCTTTACTGAGGATGACTCATGGTGTTAAATACCCATGTACAAGCGCAAAGGAATTACAGATAAACTAAAATTAGTGTTGTGATTGCACATTGTACACCCTATAATATAAATTTATTTTTCCAAGGACATAATTCAAGTGAATTATTGGAATTAACTAGAGCAAACAACACCAATAAAATGATTTATACTGTGAGCCCATGTCACTTAACTGCCCACTCTCTACACAAAGGACATTGTTGGTCTAACAGGAACCGAACTGTCATACCACTTTTGGCCATAGGGTGTCACTTGTTACAAACTGCTACAATTATAGCTAAGTAATGTCATGAAATCAGCTTACTTTCCCTTAGCCAAGGTATGGACAGTGTGCTGTTCAGTAGGATGAACTGGAGGATTGTCATGTGTCTGTGAGCACAAGGCAACCAAACAAACCTGTACATATAAAACTTGGGCTTCCTCCGTGAATGAGATCGTCATTGTCTGGCAATATAAACGGACACCTCTTTTGAACCTCCAGGCAATATTGCTTGCATGGGATCTTGTTAATGCAATGCATCTGTGTCGTCTGGAAGTACTGGGAACAAAGCCAGGATTTGTAGACCATCTGTAAGAGACAAGATGTAATGTGTGACAATTCAGGTTGTCATGAAGTTAAATAGCGATATTCACTGTACCTCTGATATCTACAACCCCCCTGTTGCTAATCACAACGTTTGATATCTCGCGATGCAAGGGAAAAGGAACACACGACTGTCAGCTAAGACTCCGCACTGTCCGAGCATTGTCATTTACCCTGCAGGCATTCTACTGCAAGTATTTGATGTGTTTCATATTCAACAAAAAATGAATCATTTTTAGGCCAGAGGAAAAAATATCCTTTCATTTTCAATAACTGTCTATCTGTTTACAATAGCGAAGCTGGGTCTTCAGAGTGCAAAACAAAGTGCACACAGTTCTTTGCAGGCCGCCCTTGCATTCAGACGATAAGGACAATTTAGAGACAGCAGTGCCCTAGTCGTGCTTGAGTGCTGAGTATACCTGGCTATCCAGGGGAATAATGGGGGGCTATGAAAGCATCCCCCATGCAGAGCTGCTTCCCTAGGACTGTGAGGTGACAGTGCAACCCCCAGACACTCTGTGCACCATGCAGAAATGTTTCGGAAAATTGCTATAAATGGAAAAACATCGATATCGTATTTGAAATTCTACACGAGCGATTCTTCCATGATAAACAGATCTTTTTATACTCTTGCATTTTATCTAAATACATCCAGATCTGCTGCTTAAAAAAAGCCACAAAACAACATGATTGTACATTGAAACTACACAAAGTTACAGATGGAACCTTTATGACACAGCCTAATCTTAAATTCCTAAAAGCCCAATACAAACATGACAAGAGAAATGTGTCGAGTATCTCAGTGTAATTTATGCTTTAATATCAAAATGCCTGTCTTGTTTAACAGCAAAACCTGTATGCATAATGATGTAATCTCTGTAAATTAACTTCCATTTAACACATTTTTAAACTTACTACATACTGTAACTGTTTCTATTGGCAGTCTTTGATACAGTTCAGAGTCTTCTCAATGGATTCTCTTTTATTTGAAAGACATAATGACAATCGGTATACAATTACAGATGCTCCTCTATTTATGAATGAGTTGCGTTCCAAACGACCATTCGTAACTTGAAATGTTCGTAAGTCATTATTCAACATCATATTAAGGGAATATGCAAGTACAAAGAACTGGGATGCTGGTAGTCCGCACGCTACACTGCTGCGTGGCGGGAGTAGCGGCCAGGAGTTGTGCTAGGTGGAATTGGCGCGCAGAACAAAATTTTATGTTGCGGACAGGAAGCGGAAGCCAAATGAACACAGTTTGGACTTAGTCCTCTTTGTTCGTATGTCTGAAAGTTCTTAAGTAGAGGAGCGCCTGTATATAAACTATTTTTTATAAAGGGTTTGAACTTATATACTTCATGTCCGATGTACAGTATCCATTCATCTTCTATAATCACTGTCACTGTGAACACGGAATGATTTGAGAAGCACGAGACACGAGGCAGGGGACACAGCCCTGCATGGGATGGCAGTCCATCATAGGGCATGCACTCACATACAAAACTCAGTTCAGAGACATAAATGCATGTGGTCACTTAACTGCAGGAGGAAGCTGGGGATTCCCCAGGCAGGATTCACCCCCACCCTGAAAGCCGCCCTCTACAACTGATCTTGTACATTTAACTCTCTATATTATTGTAAAAAGTTGTGTGATTCTGTAAATTCAAGCACTGATAACTATGAACTGCGACCCTGTACTGGATAAAATGATGGATGGATGGATGGATGGACAGACAGTCTGACAGTTGGATGGGTTGGTCATTACAATGAAATGATTTCCCATTTAGACCATAAAACAAAAAGCTATGATGCTCATTTTTTCACCTGTCAAACTTGACTCATTTGCTTACAGTGAAAGCATATAGATCTTGTTGTGTGCAGCAAGCTATTACAACATTGTCTAAGCTTATTTCACAGCAATATAGGTTGCATTTGTAGTGGGGCTGGCAGTAATCCAAGAGTCAGTTGTTCCAACACACATCTGGGCCCCTGAAGAATGATAAAATTGATACTACCGGATCTACAAAGCTTAGCTCCATGCAACAAATTACATTTCAAAATGAAAGCCATTAAATGTGAGTGCGATATCCTTCAGTTCCATTTCTAAGGTGAGGTGTTTTCTTGCATGAAAAGAGAGTTTTATATTTTGTTGACAAATTGCTGCCACACCAGAAAGGATAAAGCTGGCCAAGTAAATACGTCGTCTAACTGAATCTGCTGAACGCCTTGATGCAAGGCAATGAGTACCAGAACACCGAGCACCGGCATGCATTAAAACATGATGCCATAACTTCAGATGAAATTCTTTATTGTCCAAAACAAAGTGCAAGTAAGGATCAACAATGCACCTCTAGAGTAATTGGCATTAAGCGCCTGACTCAATGGTCTAGTGGAAGTGGCCGTTGCATTGAAATTTGCGCATTTCGAAGATGCAAACTGGAAAATCATTAATGGAAACACTTAAATTTTGGAGAAATTTCGAATATCGTGATTTTTTTATGTTTGATTGAGGTGGCTTTTGTGATTGTTTAGAAAAATAAGTAATTTTCAAAACTGCAATGGAAAAAGAATTTGCGAATTAGCAGATAAAATGATAATTAGTTCTTCTAGAGCTACTGACTTTCAGAAAACCTGCTCCATGTTGAAGTACGAGACATGGATCTTAATCTTGCAGAATGGTAAACGGCAAGTATTATTCACTTTGCATCCGTTAATGGAAACGTACCCTATTCGCAATTTAACTTTGTCGACTAATAAAAAATTTGCTTATAATTTTGAAACAAATACTGATATGATTACTCTGCTACCCACAAGATTTTAATCCTGAACACAGGCACCCTAAGCTAGAGGGAGATGCATCTCCCCCAGGCCTGCACACAAATAAGGTTACCATTATTTCAAGATGAAAAAGAGGATGCTCTGTCGCTCACCAAATGTCACTAATATAAAATGTTTAAGAACTTTCTGGAAGGTGACTTCACGTAGGGATGTGCATATTGTTTAATTTTTAAAGAAGTCGTGTGCATGAGCCTGGCAAACACTGTGCCACAATTTCGTGCCTTTTCCTTCACTTGGTAACTTGCAACATTGGGTCATATGGGTTGCAGCACTAAATCCGGACTAACCGGCGATTTTTGAAAGACGGCCCAAATTGGGGCCCAGATGGAGGAGGTGTCTGGGGAAACCTGGACGTGTGGTAACCCGACACACAAAGACGGACTGCAAGAGCTCCACACGTGATCGTCAGGACACCTTCATAAGCCATCTATCACACATTCATTAGACTGCCTTCTACAACCCATAAAGACTGTCTTTTACAATAATCCGTATGTGAGGCTTTCTGGAGAGCTTACATAAGCGGCATGTCTTCTTAAGATCAGCCAAAACATTCATAATAAAGGGCTTTTTAATTGATTTGTTGCCATAACAATGGAATTTCATAGTCAGGATGATGGAATATCACAGTATTTCTAAAGTACTAGGGGTCCAAGTTCCTATCTCTGTCTGCACTCAGACAATGACCTCTACAGGCAGAAGCTGGACAGAAATTTGGCAGGAGACACAAGTGCGCGCTTCGTTGTCCCCAAACAAAGACGAGCACAGCCTCTCGCAAACACGTTAACCTCCGCGGAGGTACACTGGTGAATACAAGGCAAAGCTTTGCACTTTCAAACACAACCAGCTGAGACGGACTGTGCCCGGGACCACCAGCGGAGTATAGTACAGCTTAGCAAGGTGACTTCTGGAGAAGAATTTAAATGAGAGTTTAAATAGGAGTCAAAGAATAGAGAACAAAAGTCCTTCTTTTGTTCTCCCCCTGGGGTAAGACAAACAAGAGGCCTCAGTCACAGTATTATACTGTGAGACCATCGTCTGTAGATGTACATTAACTGAATGGCAGTGCTGACAGATTCACCAGTAGATGGTACCAGAGTTTCAGTTTTTTGATCCTTTAATGCGACTACACTGCAATCGTCAGAACTGGGTTTGGCATTTATAAAGAAAAAGAATCAAATTAAAAAATACACAGCCCAAAAAATAGCTTTAAAAACATATAATTATGTACCAGAATGTACAAGTAAACTGTTATAGATGTGTTTCTTGACGTTCAATGAATTACTCAAAAACATTTTTTATGTGAGGTGTTTTGTGGGCGATGCTTCTATGCTCTGTTGCCCTGCGTGTCATGTGACCAGCCCAGCTTCACAGCTGGAGAGAATGTCATGCTTTGAAAGAGTTTGGCGTGTCAGCTCCATGAATGCGTTGATTTTAGTCACCTTTAGTCACACGATTGACTGGAGCAAATAAGCCAGTCTTCAGCAGCCCTTACATCCATGCCAGCTTGCCATTCAGTAGGCTAGAAAAAATTACTTTATATTTAACAGAAGCTTTAGCAACATCCATTTTTTGAGAAAGCAGGGTTAGGCACTCACAGAAGAAAATGGGGGCCTCTCTTCAGGGCACAATAGTGAAATCACTCAGCTGACAATGGGGTCAGAACCAGTGACTTTGAGATCATAGGTACAGTGTCCTAACCTATGGCGCCACATGCTGCTCCAGTGCTTGGTGGGGAACCTCGTTAGAGGGGCTCTAAACGACTGGTTGACTAAGATGGTCCAGGCTTTGACTGTCATACTGTAGGTTTGTGTATGATGTGCACTGGTCAGGATGGTGACGGGAATTCTGTGTCACAAAAGAGGTCACGATAGAGTGGGAATTTTATCTTGGTACATCACACATTAAGAGGTAAAATTAAAAAATACTTGGGATAAAATGGACAACACGTCTTGGGGAGGACAACAACGTGGTTTGGGGAGAAGCTTCCAGGTGTGTGGTATGGACCTAAGAGGCAGAATTTCTATTTTATATTTGAAGTCACAGCCCTACGGTGAGTATCACTGTCTCATCCCGGGTTGACGGTTCAAATCCCATCCCATTCTACGCGTGCGGAGTTTACAAGTTCGAGTTGTGCAGGTTTT